AAAATAGATAACACTGAATATATTAAAAATTTCAGACCTATATCCCTGTGCAATGTGAGTTATAAAATAATTACAAAATTAATGGCTAATAGAATTAGGGGAACCCTAACCAATCTGGTGTCTGCCAATCAAACTAGCTTTATTCCAGAGAGACAAGACATAGATAATGTCCTAATACTTCATGAACTCTTGCATTCAACTGCTAAATTAAAAAGCAGGAGTGGTTATATGATTATTAAAATTGATTTAGAGAAAGCCTATGATAGACTTAGATGGAATTTTATTGTCAATACTCTCCATAAAATTGGCCTAAGGGCTGATTTTGTCAATCTGATTTATCAATGTATATCCACTTCTTCTATGTTCATTAACTGGAATAACAGTAGTACTTATACATTCAGTCCTGAAAGAGGTATTAGGCAGGGGGACCCCATTTCCCCTTATATTTTTGTGCTCTGTTTAGAAAGGTTGAGCCATTTAATCCAAGATAAGATTGCTAATCAAGAATGGGTTCCCTTTTCTTTTAGTAATCATGGCCCAAAAATTTCTCACTTATTTTTTGCTGATGACATAATTTTAGTAGTAAAGGCTGACCTAAACCAAGCTAATATTATCCATAAGGTCCTCACTGAGTTTTCTATAGCTTCTGGCCTTTCAGTTAATAAAGGGAAGTCCTCCATAATTTGTTCTAATAACACTAACTCTGCTCTTATACAGAATATTAGTAATTGTTTAGGTATTAGAAGTTCTCTCAGCTTTGGTAAATACCTAGGTATCCCTATTAGTAATAAAAAACTAGGTAGAAAAGATTTTGCTTTCATTATTGATAAACTTAGAAAGAAGCTTACTTTATGGAAAATGAATACTTTATCCTTAGATGGGAGGGTCACTCTTGCTCAATCTTGCCTAATGAGTATCCCTTCCTATCTTATGCAAATTATGATTATCCCTAACACTGTTTGTAAGGAAATTAATAGTATATGTAAGAATTTTATATGGGGATCTTTAAGTAAGAGGAAATGTCACTTAATTAAATGAGATAAAATTTGTAAGCCCAAAAGTGATGCGAGTTTGGGCTTCAGGGATCTTTCTCTGCTTAATAGAGCTTACATGATGAAATTACTTTGGAGATTGATTAAGTCCCGTCATGAGTTATAGGCCCAGGTAATGTATCACAAATATAGATTTTGTATAGGAAAGAAACCTAGTTTAGGCAGTAAGCCCTCCTATCTGTGGAAAAATTTAATTGATGACTGAGATATTTTTTCTAAAAGGCTGGGTTGGGTGGTTGGTGATGGCTTATCTACCAAGTTTTGGGGGGACAACTGGATACCACATATTCAGAACCTACCTTTGTATGCCTTGTATTATATTCTGGAGGAGGACCATGATATACCTGTGGCCTTCTTCTCTGCCCAAGGTAGTTGGGATTGGTCCAGAATCAAGAATATGCTTCCTCCTCACATTCATGATGCTATAGCTCAGGTCAAGCCCCCAGATGTTAGTAGAGGTCAGAATCTTGTGTTTTGGAACATATTGAGTGATGGTTTATTTTCTATAAAAACTGCTTATTCCCTTTTTTATAATACTAATAAGTATTCTGTATTGAGTAAGAACATTTTCAATTTAATTTGGAAATGGGGTGGTCCTCCCAGAATTGTCTTCTTTTTATGGAAAGTGTCTCATGGCAGGTTATTAACAAATGAGGAAAGATGCAAAAGAGGTATGAATAATTCTCCCTTTTGCTCTAGATGTAATACTGCTCTTGAGCCAGTTATGCATGTTCTTAGAGATTGTTGGTTTGCAAAAAAAGTTTGGGATTATTACATTTTACCTAATAATTGGGCATCTTTTTTTAGCATGGGTTTGTCTGATTGGTTGTTTAATAATGTATCTAATCCCAAGTTTAATAATTTTCCATGTTGGAGCAAAATTTTTGGTATTATTATTTGGTACCTTTGGAATGAAAGGAATAATGCTATCTTTAACTCTTCTGTTGCTACTCCAAGTGCTCTTAATCAAAAAATTCGCCATGACTTTAAGTATTTGATTTCCTTTTATAGGGATAAATTCAAAACAAATGCTGATAGGATAGATATTCATTCTCAAGATATATGGTCTCCTCCCCCTTTTGGTCACCTAAAGCTAAACGTGGATGGTGCTGTCTCCCAGGCTCACAAAATTGCTAGATGTGGCGGTTTAATTAGAAATTGCCATGGTCAATTGATAGCTGGGTTTTATAGGAGTTTAAGCTTATGCTCCCCCCTAGCTGCTGAATTGTGGGGTCTTTTATTTGGACTGCAATTAGTGGTCCAGAAGAATGTCCAGCTTGTTTGGATAGAAACTGACTCCAAGGAAGTTTTACAATTAGTTTTGAATATCCATTGTTGTAATCACCCGATGTTTAATGTCATTTCTGAAATTAGGAGTTTGTTAAAAAATATTCCATTTATCAGGTTTAGACATATTTTTAGAGAGGGGAATAAGTGTACTGATTTTTTTGCTAAGATGGGATTAGATTTCCCTGAGCACACCATTTATTTTTGGAAAAATCCCCCCTCTTTAATCCCTTTTTTGAGTCTCGATTCCGTTGGAATATGTAATTCTTGTTTTAATGTGTAATTCTGTTTTTTGGACTTTTTAGCCTTCTCTAATAGAAAAAAAAAAATAAAAAATTCCCGAGAAACTGCCCTGCCATGTTTCTACCGCAAGCAGTAGCTGCCCAAATAATATCAGCAATTAGGATAAATTAGTTAACAAAGACATGACCCTTCTGTCATCCATTTGAATGAAAATACAAGAAATTTTTTATTAATTATATTTTTCTACTACACTTTCCAAAACATATAAGTAAAGCGTGTCCTTAAAAATATGTTAAAATTTTTATAATCATTAATATAATGCACAAGTTATAATTAATATAGGTTTGCATTCTGATTTTGAAAAACTTTTATACACACGTTTAAAATTAAAAAGCTATTTATTAGGTTGAACTTACAATTGCTCTCAAAATCGTTATCAAACACAATATTAATAATACTAAAATAAACATAAATTTATGATTATTTAAAAGTAATTGAAATATGGTACTTAGATTGGAGAAATAAAGGAATTGTCCACTCAGTTCCGTTGCGTTGATTGAATGAAAGCTGAAATTTAAATTTTTTTTAATCTCCAACTTTATAAAATAATATTTATTTTAATTATTTTTAATATAAAATGAGAACAAAAGGAAATAAAATAACTATTTTTTCATAAAATTAAATATTAACAATATTTTTCATAAAAAATCGAAAACTGCTTTCTAAAATTTTTTCGTACCATTTAGTGTTATCCAATAAAGGATAATCAACAGATATAATTAATGTTTCCATTGATAAAATGGGAAAAATTAAAAAGTGAGAACCTGAAAAATAATTTGGATTAGTTTTTTTGGTTAAATTGCAATTATAAGAAACTAATGCAATGGATATATATAGCTACGTACATGAAGCTACTTATCTAAACTGGTAGTGCTTGTGAGAGACCTGTATTAACTACGGTAAGAGCACTACATAACTTAAAGAAATAACTGACAACTTTAACAGACAGACTCTTTTATCTTATTTCAATAAATTTTATAATTAAATTTATTACATAAGTCCTTATATAAAAAATATTATTAAAAGAGTGCTTAATTAATCTATATATTTATACACACCCTAAATGTATCAATATTCCCACACAAAACATTGAATATTCAATCAAGCACAGGAATTACCTTGGTTACCCACATTCTCCTTTGAGGTGTATCCTATATTAACAACATTCAATTCATTTGATTACTTTGATGATGATTCATGACATGGAGTATCAACACCATATTAAGCTTTGATTATACTTTTGATTCTTTAATTTGTATATCCTGTAAAGTTGATGCCAAACAGGATATTAAGCTTTGATTATATTCAGTTTCTTTATGTAATAGTTTTTTAAAAGGGTTTAGAGATTAAGTTACTAATTAAAAATAAAATCTAAATAATTTAATAAGATGTAAATTTTGGGTGCGAGTAAAAGATTGTTTTAAGAAATTTAAGTGTCAAATTTGAGTAAAACAATGAGAATTTAATAATTTTAAGTAAAAATAAAATAACTTTATTTGAAGGAAAGATTTAATTGACTTGAAATAACTCGAAAAGCATCCAATGAACCACAGGTAAAAATAACACTCACTAGTCACAAGTCACACACACAACTTATTGGGCAAATTCAATATGACGCATGGCATGGGTACCTTAAAAATGTGAAGGTGCATCAGCATTATATATATATATTATTCTCCAATAATCCAGTGGTATATTAATATATAAATATTAATACATTAGCATAAACTCAAGAATGTGTTTAAATAAAATAATTTGCATATGACAAATTTATTGATATAGAATTTTTTATTTATTAAATACGTAGATTAATAAAAAAATTATAATTATAGTTAATAAAATATTAAAAATAATTCACATATAATAAATATTTTTTATTAAAGTTGAAAAAATATTTAAATAATTTTTTATAAATAAAATTTTTAATTAATAGAAAAAGTATTATAAAATTAATTATTAAAACTTTGAGTCTATATAATAAGATCGACTTATTTATATCATGATAAAAAGTTAAAAATTTACTTATATAATAAAATTAATTTTAATACAATTTTTTTCAATTAATTTAGAGTCTTGTATTCTTTTCAAATTATAATTTGTTAAAATACACATTTAATATATTTGACATACTTAGAAATTAAATCTTTATATTAAAAAAATTGATTTAAAAAAACAATGAGGATTAAAACGTAAACGATAGAAAGCAAAATATAACAAAACTTACTTGTAAGAATTAAAATATAACTTTTAATTAAGTGCAAAAATTAATTTATAAACAAATATTAATTATAGAAACTAAATATATAATTTAAAATATCAATTAATTTGCATAACTTAAAAAGTCCAACAAAAAAATAAGCTCAAACAATCAATTTATAGAAATATGACTGTTGGGATATATTAAAAGATGAAATTGGGTGAATCAAATTGTTACATAACAAATAATATTGACTTTTAAATGCAATTAAAAGTATATAATGCTAAGGATACATAGCTACCTCAAATTACATAACAAATAATGAAAATGAGTTGTTATTAAGTTATCAACATAGTTATCTAGTTGACCCCTCCAATGCCTCCTCAATCTTCTGAATCATCGTTTCGTCACCACCAAATGTATCCGTATTTGATAACTTGTTGAACATGAGTTGGCACATCCACCGTTCGAGGGGGTTCATTTAAATAGAACGATTGAAGGTAAGGCATTGCTCCTTCTTCTATTTTTAATGTTACCAAAGTGGAAAGCAGAACTCTTAAAACCTTCAGATTCTGAAACCATCCCTCTTCGAAACACAACTCCTTGCCTTCATATGACTCATAAAGTTGGAGCTCTACCAGTGCTGACAAGTCTTTGATAAGAGGCAACGGATCTTCTGTTAAGTGTGATCCAGACAACCGCAGCTTCCAAAGACTTTTAAGTTCGGGAAGCCAATGTGGCAACCTTTCCAAACGCCCCTCTAAGTAAAGGCGTTGGAGACGCTCAGGACAAACACTTAATGACTCCAACTCAATAACTTCTTCTTCAGCTGCTTTAATTGCTAATGACCTCAAATAAGTCATGCACTCTATAGCATTGCATAATAATATCCCATCTTTTCTATTTATATTAAAAATGCCCAAATCCCTTATCTGCTTCAGATTCTTCAGTTCTTTCATAATCACATCCCCATTATCACGTGCATCAACCATTCTTAACTTCTGCAGTGAACTTAGATGTCTAATTCCTGCCTTCAATTTCACACCCACACCGAAAGACTCGTATGCCAAAAGATGACGCAACTTAACAAGTCTGTTAATCTCACATGGCAATTCCAGCACACGAGTATATTTTAAGTCCAGGGTCTCAAGATTCTGCAACTTACCAATGAACTTGGGAATCGTGGAGATACCAGTATTCCTTAAACTCAAATATTTCAAATGAAACAAGTCTCCAACTGCTTTTGGAAGATAATCAAGAGGTGCACCTTCACAGTCTAATATTGCCAAGAGCTTAAATCTTGAGAACAATGATTCCAACACAGAAGTTGTTGCGTCTTCATTAATCCCAAAAAGAAAACAGGACCTTATTAGCCCATAGTTTGCAACACTTTTCTTCACAGGATCATCGTCAACACATTCGTCAATTGACAAGCGCCGAGTCCACTCATGCAACACGAGTCTCTTACTTTTCTTCACTTGACAAAAGTTCAGCTCCTCACACTTTCTGAGAATAAAATCATGCATCAAGTCATGGACCCTACAACGTCTAACCCGGCCATACGGGAACAATTCAACCACTTTAACCAAGCTCCTAGCAATAAGCTCGTTTAAGTATTCTTCTGCTACTTCCTCGAGAATTTGACCATCATTCCCTTTGTTCTCTACAAAACCCTCTGCTATCCACAAATTAATGAGCCTCACACCACTGATCGAGTAATCCTCAGGGAAAAGGCCAAAGTATAAGAGGCATGACTTGAGGTGGTAACTAAGATCTTGGTAACTTTCAGACAGAACCTGATGGACGCAGCTAAGATGGGGATCACTTGAAAGTTTTGAGCGTAGGCTATCATATACCCTTTTCCATTCTAAGACATTTTTGTTTTTGGTTGAGAGGAGACTTGCAATAGCCACAATCGCAAGTGGCACTCCATTGCACTTCTTAACAAACTCTTCTGACAATCCTTTCAAATCTTTGGGACAATCTTCTCGGAAAGCCTTCAGACAAAAAAGGTTCCAAGCATCCTTACGATTTAGTGGTTGCATGTCATAGTTGTGAATTGGTCCATGAGCTCCACAAAACTCAGCAACTCTCCTATCTCTTGTCGTGATGATTATCATACCCCTGTCTCTTGGTAATGCATGTTCTACGTCTCCCCAAAAGCTTTCTTCCCATACATCATCAAAAACAATAAAATAGCTCTTTCCTTGTAAGTATTCTCTCAGTTTTATTACCAGAGCGTTTCCGTACATTTCACTAATTTCTTTGACGGATTCTTTGTCCCCAGCCTCCTCATAAAGCCTCTTTAGCAAATCCTTCAATAGATCCTCTCCCTTGAGCAATCGGGATACAGTGATCCAAGCATAGCAATTAAAAGATGCTTCCCTCTTCTTTTGATTAAATACCTTGTTCACAACAGTTGTTTTACCTTGATATAAAAAAGTTTACAAAATAAAAATTTGGAAAAGTTAAAAATGTGATATGATGTTACAATATCCTAGAAAATATAAAAATTAATCCCATCAAAGGAATATATGAAGTTGTAAAATAAAACAGTATACTGATGTTTCAATGTTTTATGAATCCTTTAAATAGATACATTTCTATATCTTGAGTTCATCACATCTATATTTGAAGTTTATAAACAAAAATTCATTAATGTACCTAGGATTGCATTATTTTTCTCATGAGATAACTTAGACAAACCCTAGTTTATATTAACATCGTGAGCTACTGTTTTTTGTTTTTAATGTTGATGTATCATTTAAGTAGATAACAACGGCTCAAAATACTAAAGAGTTGGAACATTACCATGACCACCTTCGCCTACCACTGAGATCACAGTGCGACTACCTTGTTCTGACAACCAACTGGATAGTACTTGCTTGATATGGTCAATCCCTACAAGCTGATCATCCTCAATGAAACGGGCACCTTGTCGAAGATAATGCACCGTGGCAGTATCACTCCTTGGTTCCAAAGCAGATGGATTGAACCCAAAAGTTTCTTTTTCTCTGCTGAGTAAAGCTATTGATTCTCTTATCTCATCAATCTGTGATGCAATCTTATGGCTGAGCATGACAGATCTGAGCAAGTCACAAATTTCACATATGAAGCAAGCAACCCCACCATTGTCTTGAAACTTATTGTGCACTTGCAACAAGTACTCATCAATCACATCTTCAATACGATATGAAACTCGTCTCATTCGCATGACCCACATTTTCACTAAGTGGTTGGTTTTTCCCGTCTCTGCTTTTGCATCTGCATCCTTTAAGTAAGCACGAATCATTTGTAATTGGTCTTTCACTGACTCAAGTTGGTTTGACACTCCTCTCTGAAGATCGACTTCATCTCTGAGTAAAGGGATCAACTTGTCAATCACAAGGTTCACTGCAATTTCTGCCATTTGATGAAATAAACCTGTAACACATACAAAACTATGCTTGCTGATAGGTTTGCAACCATCATGGATATATAGACACACATCTTAAAAATCCAATATAGAACCAGTCATAGTAGATACTCTTAAAATCTTCTTCAATTTTGTATACAAAACCTCTACAGCATAATCTTTAAGTCGGTAAAACAAGCGTTGAGATTAACACTTCAAAGTTTTAACACAGTAACTGCCAATAGAATTTCCCAAATCATAAATCATTTTACAATCAATAATTTCTCATCTGTATAGTTCTTCAAGTAGAGCAAAATAGTAGTTTCAAAAATCTTATCTTAATCTTTGGCTCATTAAGCATCACACAAAATATCCACTTCAACTAACTCAGCTCCAAACGCACTAAATAATAGAAACTAAAATATTGAAACTACTCGGCTACATGTGGCAAAGTGAAACTCTGATAAATCAGAAAATTACAACAAATACAGAGTACATAAGTGAGTCACAAATGACTCATAGCAACATTACTTATTCTGATATAAATCAAAATAGAAAAGTTTGAAGTATCAATAATGGTTAAATTTCCAGACATAAACAAAATTGAAACCAATCTGAATAAAAATATAAGATTAAACAAAAAAGACAAAGTAAATTATAGAATGGAGAAATTGAGCTTGTGAATAGGGAGAGGAAAACCAGGTTTAGAGCTCAAAGTGCCTGAGATTCCTAAAACACAACTTCTTTTGCATAGAAACTGTGTGTGTAGTGAGACGTCCGTTCAGATGTTGCTTTTCAATTATGAGGAAAGACAGCTAAAAACATTCTTTCTTCACGCTGCTTTTAGAATTTCATGTCTTTTACTTTATTATCTTTCCCAAGAATAAAAAAAAATAATTAGAAGATGAGGAGGAACAAAAATATAATCTTTAACATATTTTTCAAATATATTGTTATTTTATTAGTCAAAATTGTAAAAGTAGAAATCCAAATTATTAATTAAAAGTAGTATTTACATTATTTTTTATAATTTTAAATAAATTTTATCTAATAATAAAAAATGTTAAAAATATGTTACTAACTTTTTCAATGAATAAAATAAAACTATTTTAAAAAATTATTCAATATTTTTTTTTATTAATGAGAACAATATTTTGAAAAGAGAAAAATTAAATTTTTAGGAAAATTGACATAAAATTTAAGCATAAAAAAATGAAAAAAAAAATGGAGGCAATAATTGATTGATAGTTCGGAAGTAAAGGTCTACGGTACAGAGGTGAACGCGGAATTGAGCAAACCAATTAACGAAGAAAATGAGACGAATCTGCTCACAACTGTAACCACACAATCAAGAAGTGAGGTCTATAAATTAAGTCTAAATCCCATTAATCTTAGCTTCCTGATTAATTAAATTAGAGTACTGAGCTCCTTTAGGCCAACAAAATTTAATTAGTGAATTAATAAATAAATATGTTTTAATTCGAAAAATCATATTTTATCTTGATAAAATCTATTTTTTCAAAAGATTAACTTAATCTACAACAAATAAAACTCATTTTTGTCAGTTCAGAATGACCTGCTTTAAGATTAATTTGATTTAAAGCAAAAAAGCATAACTTATACGTGTAATGAGAAAAAACTCAGGACAAACACGTAATGACTCCAACTCAATAACTTCTTCTTCAGCTGCTTTAATAGATAATGACCTCAGATAAGCCATGCAGTCTATAGCACTGCATAATAATGTCCCATCTTCTCTATTTACATTTAAGAGGCCCAAATCCCTTATCTGCTTCAGATTCTTTAGTTCTTTCATAATCACATCCCCATTATCACTTCCATCAACCATTCCTAACTTCTGCAGTGAATTTAAATGTCTAATTCCTCTCTTGAATTTCACACCGACACCGAAGCGATGTGCCAAAAGATGACGGAACTTAACAAGTTTGTTAATCTCATATGGCAATTCCAGCACAAGAGCATATTTGAAGTCCAGGGTCTCAAGATTCTGCAACTTACCAATGAACTTGGGAATCGAGCGGATGCGGTTGACCTTAAACTCAAATATTTCAAATGAAATAGGTCTCCAACTGCTTTTGGAAGATAAGCAAGAGGTGCACCTTCACAATCTAATCTTGCCAAGAGCTTAAATCTTGAGAACAATGATTTGAACAAAAAAGTTGGTGTGTCTCGATCAATCCCAAAAAGAGAGTTCATTTCAGCTAATATGAAGGGCATTTCTACTAGAAATCATGTCTCATTTGGCCATAAATTATAGAGGACAGTCCTGGTGTCAACCCACCACCAGATTTATTTGTCAATTTAATTGGTTGGACACACATTGCTAAGCATAACCAGAATGACCTTCAATTGACTCAATTGGTTAAAGCTTATATATAAGGCTCATTGCACAGCTTCTAGCAAACTTCCACATACATGTGGTTATTAGTTTTGTAATTTTTGACATTGAATTATCATATGAAAGTATAATTGGTATTATTTATTATAATGTTAATAAATAAATTTCATAAATTATTAAAAATACATTTATACTTCTTGGTTCTTGTTGATTGTGTAATATATTCAAAATAAAATCAAAACCATTGTCTATAAGTATAAAAGGAATTGTCTAATAAAATTTTTCTTTCATTTTGGTCATCATTAATATCAATCCCATCATCATCTTTATTTTCAAATCTTTCTTTCAAATCTTTCATTATACAATTATAAAAGAATATTAATCAATCAAACAGTAAGTATACCTACTTCAATTGTATATTAATTGTCATCAATAACATCACCACATGAAAGTGATAAATTTATGTCAATTAATTGTGACATAACAAAAGAAATTTCACTAAAAATAACATCTATATATAACTCAATTATAATTTTTTGAGTATTGTTGACACACATTTATCATGTAATTAATATTTTTATTATTACATATATTTAAAATTATGTACTATTGAATATTTGCATCAACTAAAAATTGTAACATCAATCTAGAAATAACATGAGTAGTAGATAAGTTTTGCATAAATTTTTCTATTTAACATACTCAAAGTTATCACATATTTTATGAAAATTACTTTTTTGTCACCTTCAAAAGTAATACTTTCATTCTTTCCGTAGATTCTACCCTTCCAATAGATGATAATCATAATTTCATTCACCCCTACATTTATAAAAGTTTAATAATTAGTAAATAAAATTAATTAAAAAAATACTTTGGTGAAATTGTTTGAAATATTTTAAAACGTAGTAATACATATATAAAATTAAATTAAGTAATATATAAATTATATTACTATATACAACAATAAAACTAATTAATGTAATAACAAATAATTTTATTTTTAATGAAAATGATTCTATAACTTAAATTACGAGAGTTAAAAAAGCATAACAAAATTAATAACAACTGACTAATTGTTAAATGAATAAACTAATATAAATTAAATTACTAAATCCACGAATATAAATAATTTCATAGCAACTTATAAATTTTATATCGAAGATAATTATATATAAATTAAGGAAAAAATACAAACTTAATAACAAATAATTATTTTTATAATTAATATATTTATATAAATTATATTACTAAAGTCAAAAACATAAAAATATTAATATTTTAAAATTAAATTACTAATTCCAACAACATAATTAATTAAATAAAAAATATTTAATTTATTACTAAAACTAATTAATTATTAAAATACTAACAATGAAAATGTGAGAATTTCCCTCGAATTCACCGCTTCTATAGCCTTCTAAAGAAGAAAAAACAATAAACCCACATTTTATTACCTAAATGATAGAAGAAATTAGTATTGCACTTTGAATGTGATGCTTAATATTGAAGCGGAAAAAAAAATATAAATAGAAAAATAATTTTAGTATTATTTAGTAATTAGTTTTTCAAATGGTAAAAAGCTTATTCTTTTAGTCTAATCTAATTGAAAATTTGAAAAAAAAAATGCAGACAATAATTTATTGATAGTTCCATAAAATAAATTTGTAAGTCAAGGTCTACGTACGGAATTAAAGTAAAAATTAAATGTAGAAAATGACATGAATCTGCCCCCAAACACACTACTCGTGGCCAGCTATTGCTCGTTCGTTGCATGTGTTTATTGAAATCTGAAAACTTTATCTTTAAAATCAATGTATTTATTGAAATCATTATATAAAATTCATTCTAATCTTGAATAAATTTAGCTAGCTAGCAACTTGAATAGTGAAATACATTTAATTTGTCAGAAAGAGATGTGAGAGCGATTTTATTTTAATTTAGAAAATATTTAAAATATTTTTAAAATTTTGTGCTATCTAATATATTACAGAATAGTTAAATAACTGTTCCTAAATATAAATATTGGAGAGCAATTTCATATGAAACTGCTCTCATAAGGTGAATATCACTTAGAATAAATGTTTTTCAAAGTATAAGTATAAATCATGAATCTAATATTTTAAATTTCTTTGTTTATGAGTTTTTATTTCAAACTAAAATTAATTTATTATTATGTTTAAAACTTCTTTATTTTTATCGCAAATCAAAATTAAAACTTGAGTTTATACATTATATTAACCAAATAATCCACATCTGCAACTAGTTCACAATTAATAAAGAAAAAAAAAAAAGAAACAGAATAAAGAGAACCGACTAATAAATAGAAAAGATACCAACTTTGTTAGTGCAATGAAGATGAAGAAAACTTATAGATGTGAAAGAAACCAATTTTGTTAGCACATAAAAAACTAAGAAGATAATGAAGATGAAGAGAACCTATAGTCGTAAAAGATACTAACTTTGTTAGCAAAACAAAGAGATTCATAATGTGTGCTTCATTTATAAAATAGAAAAAAAATTTAACAACTCTAAAAAATATACATTATAGAGCGATTTTATGACTTTAGAAACTTGTTAACAGAGAACCGTTCTCTAATCTATACATTAGAGAGCAGGCATTAGAGAGAGCGGTTGGTTGGTTCATAGTCAACTGCTCTTAGCAATACACATTAGAGAGCGGTTCAATGCTAACACTTCTTAGAGGTGTACATTAAAGAGCGGTTCTCTATTAACTGCTTTCAAAGGTATACCTTAGTGAGCAGTTCAATATTAACAGCTATCTGCTCAGAAAGCGGTTTCTACTCACTGCTATCTAAGTTAGTGCTTGATAAGTCCATAATTAGGCCATCTTCTACGATTCATATATTTATGTTTAGCCTTTATTTTAATTAGGTTTTATATTGATTTATAATTAAATGTGCAGTTTAGTATGAAGAGGTTACAAGTAGATTTTGGATGTTTTTTGGGCCCAAATTGATGAAAAATCAGAGCTTTGCAGCAGTCAGTACGCTCAGACCCTTTCAACAAGCCCTTGCACAATCGTGCTCATATGCGAAAAGCCCAATTATAAAGAGTTTTTAGGAATTTTAAATCTTATAAAAGAGATAGCTCAGACATCTTGTTGATACACTGTTTACATCTTATTTTTTACTTTTTGATACACTTCTCATCTTGTTTCTCTTGTACAAGATCTTTGGCATATGCCAAAAGATAACTAAGTCCATAACTAGGATTATGAGTACTATTGTTCATGTATTTATGGGACTTTAAAGTTTGAATCTATATTCAGTTTTCGATTGTGATTTTTATCCTATTGCGCATAATTATAATCCTAATTAATTATATCATTAAGTGATCGTACTTCAATTAGTTAATGAAAACTAGACAAAAGATTAGGTAAACCAAACCAATCTTTCTCTTTTGAATGTTAT